TGTTACTCTCATCTGTTGAGGCTTCACATTAGATACATGATTCTCATTCACTTGAACCTCTGCTGTCAGTTGACTATCTACTTCTACTTTTCCTTCTATTTCCACGTCATCGTCATCTGTTTCAGAATGCGTYTGTATTTCTCCAAGACCTGTATTTACTTGTTGCAMCAGCTCTTGGTTAGGAATAAAGACAATTCTTGATGACAGTGGAATTGGGTTGAAGATGAATTTCTCCGAGCACTGTGTCTCTTGAATCTTCATCATTTCACTTGCCAGTCCTTTTTCCATCATATTCCTGATGTATTCCTCGACTGCTGGAATATGGGGAATTATATTCAAGTTTGTTGTGGCTGTGCCGAACTTCTCGTCTATTTGTCTCAGTAGTTCTCGTTCATTTTCTTGTAGAATTTGGATCATTTTCTTGGTATTTTCTTTCACTTCATGTCTTGCTTTTTCTCCTTGTTGTTTGATAGTTTTAGCGATTTTTTCTTGTTGCTGTTGTTCCTTTTCATCTAATTTCAACTGCTCTAGTACTTGCAGATGCTTTGACAATACATCTTTCTTGATCGAAGCAAASKTMTCTAAWGACATCGTCTTATGATCCTTGTGATCGTRTTTCCAGCATGTCACACAAATCATGTCATCACAGTCTTCACAGAATGACTCTAGCCTGTGCTGAGGGTGACTTTTACAAGGATTTTCTCTTGTTGTTATGAACTCAATATCTTCTTTCTTCAAATCAGCCAGGCAAACGACCTTGTGATCTTTGATGAAGTAMGAATGGTTCTTCTTGCATTCTTGACACAGTGAATGATCGCATTCAAAACAATACCAAGATGCTGGAGAATGACTCTCAGAAACAGAGCAAACCTTTTCTCCCTTTGCCAACGCCAGACCCTTCAAGATTCTTGAATGCAGTGAACTTGGCTGTAGATCTTCCACGCTGYTTGGTTCTGGAAGATGAATTTGTGATTTGCATCGAGGACACTTGAAGACGTTGACTWGGTCGATGAGCTCGGCGTGWCTTCCGACGCAAGGCTTACAAAATGTATGGAAACATGGAAGRATCTTCGGTTCWGTWARWGTATCATTACACAAGGAGCATTGGACGTGCTTCTTCAGATCTTCCAGGAAAGATTCCATGTTTATTAAGGGAGTTATCTAAAGACGCGTCTTTCGTCTGTCGAGCAGATGTTTCTTTCCTAGAAATAGTGTCAYGCTAATGAGAGCGGAAACGCAATGATACGTCACAAATGGCAGCCATAATAGCATCTAAAATAGGTTTTGGGTCATGCAACGTGGCCCGCCATATAGAATTTATTCGTTCTCATTCTCTATATCGATTCATAGGGTTAAAGTCATATTTGGATGTATAGCGGTATTAGATCAAGCCTTAACATAAATACATACCAACGTACTTCAAGAATAATTAAAATACAAATGTTTCATGTGTAAAGAATAGCCCAGCAACACCGCAATAGGCGGGTTTTATCTAAAGGTAACGGTAGTACAACAGTTTCATATCTAACAGGTATTTATGACAAATAACTAGAAAAAACGCTAATTATAAAGAAACATTCTTTGGAGATCCTCTTAGGAGGACTGAGACCATATTCCATTTATAGAATTAAAGTTGTTTTCTACGTAGAGATATATATTTGTGATGACGATGATAGAGAGTTGCTTTGAAAGAGGGTATTCGGTGATTTCTCTTAGACGATTTCATCAATCAAAACTCCACAGATCTGGTGTCCATCTCGGGGAGAACAGCTGTTTGTGGCATTATACTGTTTCTTAGTCTTACTGGTTTTCTATCGATCAAACTCAATACAACTAGACTAGTTTGGCTTCCGATTTAGAGCTGAACCAACGGACAGATTTCTGTCCCAGATACAATGGACGGTTTGTGACTTTTCTCATAATTGCTTGACATTCTTGTTGGTTTAGAGGCTTTGCACCATCACGTGATGGCAGCCATGACTGGAGGCATCTAATCTGATGTGCATGAGAAATAATTCAGTTTCCCAGGGGAAAGATACCCTATTGTTGTGCCTCCTGTTATGGCTGCCATCACTGTGGTGGTGTAAAGTCTCTATATGGTTACTGTCAATCAAAACTCAAAATATCTCTAATCAGTAGTCCATGTCTTCATTTTCAGAATCCGATCTACTTGAATCACTGGTGTCCATCTCGGGTACAATGGCTTGTTTGTGGCTTTTCTTGTCTTGGTTTGGTGTTTTTGGTGCTTCTGGGTTTTGGTCATCCTTTGCTGTGTCCTCTTCGTCTTCTGACGTGGACCATTCCCAACGATCAAGGTCGATTTTGAGAAAGGCAAACTGTGAGGAAAAATGAA